CTAGCACTTGACCCGGCTAGACCACTTGTCGCCCTTCGCGTCTTGCTCTACTATAGTTGCTCTTCGTGGCTCCCGCGGGGCGAGCACAATCCCTCTCACAATCACTTCTCTGGAGCACCGCACAATCTTATTTGCGTGCTTCAACGGAGACCACCACTAAGCCAACTAGGTGGTGGCAACCTCTAAGAGTAACAAGCACCACCAGGTTGCAACTCAATCACCTAGTGCCACTTGATGCAACCTCACGATGTAATAGCTTTAGAATTGCTCACTCACTCGATCGGATGAACACTATCAAGCTCAAGTGAGTTAGAGGGCTCCCAAGCACACCTACACAAGCCACCATGGCTCAAGGGTACTCAGCTCTTGGCTAAAGGCCGACCAACACTTCTATTTATAGCCCCACAGGCTACACTAGCTGTTACCCCTTCATTGGGTAGATTTTAGGACGACCGGATGCGCACGTCGTGTGCACCGGACATGTCCGGTGTGGCAACCAAACGCGTCTGATCGTTGCATCCAGTCACTGCTTGACCGCCACATGTCCCATTCAAACGAAGTAGCCGTTGCTGCCCAATGGCCCTCTCTAACACGCTTTGACACGATGCATCGAACGCACTATAGTGAAGTGATCAGACGCATGAGGGGCAGCATTCGGCCGAGTCCCAGAGCCACTCCACCGTGACCGGACGCGTTCGGTGTGGCCGACCGGACACGCCCCTATGTTCGGTCCTCTCTGGACCAAATTCTGCGTGCCACCACATCATCAAGATCGGACAATGAACAGTGTTTAGCTAGAGTTCAGTCACTTGTCTTCTCCCAGTCCGATCAACCAGTTACACTCCCTACGCCTAGCTAGAATACCGGACGCGTCTGGTATCGATATCGGACGCGTCCGGTCACATCGGGAACACTGCCACCTCAGTCAGATACCGGACGCGTCCGGTCCTCATGTCGGACGCGTCCGGTCACCCCGTGACCAGCGCTTTCAACTCCTTTTCTTCACCGAGTTGATCCGTTTCAACTCCAACTTCTCCTCCTTTGCAAATATGCCAACACCACCAAATGTACACCACCATGTGTAAGTGTGTTAGCATTTTTCACAATCACTTTCAAGGAGTTGACCACTCAACTTTCCACGCCACTTGATCCTAGCAACAATGCAAAGTTAGATCATTCAAGTGGCACTAGATGACCAATATGCAAACAAGTTTGCCCTTTTTGATAGTACGGTCGTCTATCATAAATCCGGTCATAAACTTCTCTACACACCTATAACCGGTGAAATAAAATGCCTTAGGTTATAAATTTGCCTTGCGCATCCCATTCCAACTCCTTCGATGTTGATGCAACACATGCACCAACATGATCGACAATAATATGATCCACTCCATATCATCACGTGACCATATTGGTTGATCGATCTTGACCTCACTTGCTCTTCACCATTGCTTCGGTCCATCGGCGCGAAGTCATCACTCAACTTGCCCTTCACACTTTCAACTGGTTCGTCGAGCCAAGTCATGTCTTGATCTTCTCCACCTTGATCACATGACTCAATTTCATGTCTCATGTGCAATGAGCTCCTTTATCATCACATGTGTAAGCTTTGCAACAACTCCGAGCCATCTTCACCATCATGTCATATGTTGCTCACACACATGTACTTGTGGACTAATCACCTATGATCTCACTCAAACACATATTAGTCCACCTTGGTTGTCACTCAATTACCAAAACCAAACAAGGACCTTTCAATAGGACTGTCGGGGACGCATCCACCACGCCGCCCGCCCGCCGCTGGCCTTCTCTAACGCGTCAGCCTTCTCCAACCGCGGCCTTCCCGTCCGGACACTACGCACCCACTCCGCCTCGCTGTTGCCGTGCACCCATCCCGCGCCACTCGCTCCTGCCCATCAGACGCGCCGCTCGCCCGTTTGAGCCAACCCTCGGTGCTGCTAGCAATGGTGGTGGTGGTGCTCGCGCGGTGCCGGCTCTGACCCCGACGACTAGAGTCCCCCGGCCCCAGGCTGCCCCATGTTGCAAGCGCATGTTTTAAGTGTTTTAGATATTTCGTAGGTCTGTTTCAAGTGTTTCATGCAGATGTTGCAAAAGTAGATACGAATGTTGCATATGTTGCCGTGATTGTACACGTATGTTGCAAATGTTTGTTTCATTTATTTTTTCAGACGTATGTTGCAAGTGTGTTTATCTAGATGTTGCATATGTTTCACTCATATGTTGCAAGCGTTTTATCTGGATGTTGCATATGTTTGCAATTATTTTTCAAGCGTTTTTCATGTATTTTTGCATGTGTTTTAGGTGTATGTTTCGAATGTTTTAACTGTTTCGTACGTATGTTGCAATTGTTTCATTTGGATGTTTTAAAAGTAGATCGGATATTTTGCATGTTGCAACGTGAGTCACTTGCCGCAGTTGCGTGCTGCAGATGCTGGGGCGTCGTGCGTGGAGGGAAGCGACCTATGTAGCAGGCTTAGAGTGGCGCGGAAAGCAGGGAAGCACGTAGGAGTGGAGCGGGTGGGTCCCGCCTGTGCGTGCAGAGGTGCTAGCGCGGGCGTCCGGACGCTACTGCTGCCACAAATATAAACCTGCCAACTTCACGTTCACGACCTTTGGAAATCATCTCAAGACCGAACCACCGCAGCTCATAATCCGAGTACAACTTGTTTCAAAAAAAAAAACCGAGTGCAACACGTTGCTTTGGAATAGACCCGAGAATGGGTGGGTCATGCAGGACGACGAGTGACGACCCATGTCTCCTGGAGGCTGGCTGGATAGCTGTAGCACCTGGGCCTGCTTGCCTGCTTCGCGGCTGTGACCTGGGTTCTCTTGCCCAGGGCCCCAGGCAATTCTGTCGTCAAGGAAGCACTAGACGATTTGAACAATTCGCACTGTAGCAGTAGATATAGAGTTTTATATAAAATTTTAAGTGTAAATTAAGACACGAAACATAGTTACACAATTTGACATATAGACAATAAACAATTATATATGTAAATAATCATCCACATAGTCATATAAATTAAACACGTCTGAGAAACACCAAAATTTCTTTTCCACACACGCAAATCCAATTTCACCAACCCGTTGATCTAGCACCCAACCTTTTACTGTGATTTATCACCAAAACAACAGTTTAAAGGTATATTTTCGCTTTTACACACCGTTTAATACGATCGTTGGAATTGCTTCTTTGACAAGTTCGACCGTTTAGATGTGTCTTGTGTCTAGGGCATAAACTTTATGTGAACCCACAGTAAACAGTCGTTTAGACAAACATTGGCTTGTGTTGCAGTTGCCGTCATGCGTTTGAGGATAGCGCTGACGCCTTTCCCCACCAACCGCCACGTTTTTATATGGTGGTAGTGGAGGCCCTAGCCGTGGCCGTGGTCGCTGGTCAAATCAGGAGAGTGTGGAGGAAGAGGCGGGCGGTGGAGAGGACGGAGCAAGCAACGCTGGGATTAGAGCAGTAGGTGTATGTGCTGTTGCGAGCGGCGTGAGATGAGTGGCAGAGCAGGAGCCGCTGGGCTAGGATTGAGGTTGTGGCTGTGAGGGAACGTGTTTTTGTGTGTCAGGCTAAGAGCAACTCCAAAAGCTAATGGTAATTTAGGTCTCTAAAATAATATAGACTGTTAAAAACAGATATTGTCCGCAACAAACTCTAAATCAAAGACTCTTTATTTTCTAAAGTTACCTCGTTATCACTACTGTCACTTTTTTGTTGGCTTTAAAATGTGTGTGGAGGGAAAAAGGAGGCCACGACGGCGTGAGAAATGGCTGAACGCTACGGATGGCCAGCTAAGCCCGCTGGCTTAATTACTGATTGGAAAGAATGAGATAGCCAGCTCTTTATTATTTTACAAACGCTGTTACCGAGTCTCTTGGAGCCTTTTCTTTTAAAAAAAAATTACTGATAGCGAGTAGGATACAATGTCTCTTTGAGTTGCTCCGAGGTTTGGAGATGGTTAGCGCACTGAGATTGGGCCACTATTAATCGAACCTCTCGTGTCGTGCAGGCCGAGGGTGAAGCCCAGGCGATTGCCACCTGCTGGCCACTTGGCCCATTGGTGCATGGATTCAAACGCGCCACAAACCGAGCCACGAGCCCAGCCCACGAACACTGTCGCCAAGTTCACACCCCACCACCAGCACGGGGCGTGGGTGACCGTGGCAGAAACACGAACGGTCAAAGGTCCCAAGGGCAGAACGGTCATTCCGGCACCCCAAATTCAAACTCCGCGGCCCCCTCACCTGGAAACGCCACCCCGCTCTCTCGAACCCGCACCCGCGCCTGCGCCTGTGGCTGCAGGTGGGCCTCCTGGACTCGTCTTCTCTCTGTGGCTGGCTGAACGTGAGTGAAAAAAGTCGGCCGGGTTTGCTCCCTCGGTTTGAAAACGCCGAGAGGGGAGCCCCTGCCCGTTTTACCCCCCGCGGGCGGATCTGAGCTGCTGGTGCTGGTAGATTTGATTCGCTCCGCCCCTTCTCCTACTGCCGCCTGGCGATTTGAATTCGAGCCGTGCAGAGAGAGAGAGAGAGAGAGAGAGAGAGGCCTTTTTCAGTCCAGTTCTTGAGTTCTTGAATCCAGGTGAGTTCAATGCAACGCCCAAACTTCTTTGCCAGTCTCGTTGATTCATCAGCCTCTCCCGTTCTTGGAACATCGCACGCTTCTTCTTGCGTGGCTGATTTAGTGCTGGTCCGGCGGGTCTCTGGATTGGTTTGGTTTGGTCGGTTAATGTTCGTCCATTTCCTCTTTTAACTCTCCCCTGCGCTGCGCTATGAATGCAAATCAGTAATTTCGGGCGAGATAGGCAGCTAAAATCTGACGCCCGTCGGGATTCGATGGACGCGGCCGCCGATTCCGTGGTTCTTGCGCTTGATTCTGTCCTCAGACGCCTAAAAAACGCGCCCTTTTTATGAGTCTGAATTGTTTGTTTCGTTTGTTTGCATACAGAGCTTCGTTTCTTGCACGCCGGCCGCCGATGGGCCGGAGCCTGAGCCCGCTGCTGCGGCAGGAGCTGGACAACCTGGACAAGGACGCCGATAGCCGCCGCGCCGCCATGAAGGCGCTCAAGTCCTACGCCAGGCACCTGGACTCCAAGTCTATCCCGCACTTCCTCGCCGAGGTTTCCGACACCACCACGGCCGCGGGCGGCGCCGCAGGCGCCGGCATGCCGACCGGTGAGTTCACCATCTCGCTCTACGAGGTGCTGGCGCGGGTGCACGGGCGCAACATCGTGCCGCAGATCGGCAACATCATGGCCACCATCATGCGCACGCTCTCCTCCAGCGGGGGATCCTTCCCGCTCCACCAGGCCTGCTCCAAGGTGGTGCCCGCCATCGCGCGGTACGGCATCGACCCGTCGTCCACGCCCGACGACGAGAAGGCCGCCATCATCGCGTCCCTCTGCAGGCCGCTCTGCGGCGCACTCATGGGGACGACCCAGCAGGACGGCGGCGCCGCGTCCGGCGCGGCGCTGTGCCTGAAGGCGCTCGTCGAGTCCACCAACTGGAGGTTCGCGTCCGGGGAGATGGTGAACGAGGTCTGCCTCAAGGTGGCCGGGGCGATGCACGACCGGGCGACGCGCTCGAACGCGCACATGGGCCTCGCCATGGCGCTGGTGAAGCACAATGGCCTGATTGCGGAGGCGTACGCGAGGTCCATTGTGCGGTCGGGGCTGCAGATCCTCGATGGGGACACGGCGGAGAGCAGCTCGCAGAAGCGCCTCTCGGCGATCCAGATGATCAACTTCTTCATGAAGTTTGTTGACCCCAGGTGCTTGTCTTCAGAGCTTGGCAGGGTGATTGCTGTGATGGAGAAGTGCCAGAATGACCGCATGCCGTTCGTGCGAGGTGCTGCATTTGAGGCATCACAGAGCGCGAAGAGCATCGCCTCGCAGAAGGGATCAAGACATGAGGTTGGCACAAGCCCAATGGTTGGCTCCAATTTTCACAAGAGAAGGGAGAAGAGCCCGTGCAGGAGCCTCTGGAGTGCAAAGGGCAGCCCTGCAGGCTCCACCGTCGCTGCTTCTCCAGCCCAGTTCAGGTCCCCGGAATCCCAGGTTGTGGATTCGTCTATCATGAATGGCAGCACACTCACCGAATCGCCGGTCTCAGTCGGGCAGTCCTCTTGCAACTTCGATCAGAGTCGGCGCACGAACCGGAGGTTGTGGAACAATGATGGCTTCGATGTTTCTCTGAAGGATGGCTTGTTCATTCAGCTTTGCTCAAACAGCAATTCCTATGAAGATGACTTGGGCGAGGTCTGTGACAGTGAGGTGACTGATGCTAACTTTGAGTGCACTAACACATTTGCAGGATTTGTGTCACGAAGCCCAAATGGCTCCATATCAAGAGACAAGACTCCCAGTCCCAGGGTAAATATGTTTACATATCTCAACTGTTTTAATAAATCTTCCAAGATTTGCTTTATGTTCTTTTTGTGCAATGTGTGCTTCATGAGTTGCATTGTACAGTTCCTCAGTTGAGCCAGTAATTAACTTTACTGTTCTGTTTTTCCCCCTTAGGCTTCAGACAGGCCGATCAGCATTGATAACGTGAAGATATACTCAACACCAAGGAAGCTTCTCCGATTGCTTCAAAGCTCATACGACTCTGACTCTGCTAGCATTGTGGGGCAATCCACTGCAAAGCTCAGTGGCTTATCATCACCAGATCAGGAACATGAGGAACTAGTGATCTCATCTGAACAGATGCAATCTCTGCATTCAGACAGCAAAGCTGATGAGATGAAGGATGAGAATGAAACCATTGATATGCAGAACAGCAATGATAGGACTGAGACTCTATCCAATGCCGATGAATCAGGACTTTCCACTACCGAGGCTGAGAACACATCGAGCAAGGCTTCCCCTGAAATTGAACTTAAAGAGGATGATGTCTGTATTACAAGCAGCATAGTGAAGACGAGGAAGTATAGAACAAAATTCACTTTTGTTCTGAGCATGATTGTGATTGTTTTAGCGATCATCACCATGTTTATTAGGATAGAGAATTATGATGATTCAGTGTACCTTGTCCCCACTTGATGTTTTGTAGGCTTCCTTGCTGTTTGTTCAGGTTGCTACATCTATTGTACCACTATAGAGTGGTTTGTGTTCTGAACTATTTTGCAGTCATCTATCCATGAATGACAGCAAATAATATAATTTCCATTTTCATGTTCACAATGTGCTTACAGTGTTCTGCAGCCTCACTCATGTGGTGAAATACTTAGTGAACATGGTTTGGCCAGATTCAGGTTGCTATACTTTTGTTGTCCACTGAGCTTGGCTTATTGTGCAGAAACTGCCATATTTTTGAATGAAATTAGAGTTAGTCTATAATGACATTGTATTTTCTTTTCAAGAGGTGCTGTTGAGTCAGTTTAACAGGGCTGTGCTGTCCATAGAGATGGTTTGGTTTGCAAAAACACATGGAATTGAAATGTGAGTGTTTCTCAGGTTTTTTGTTTTTAATTAAGTTCTAGAACTGTTATGGTAAATGTTTACCCAGACTATATTCCGAAAAGATACACAGAATACCAAATGGAGGTACAGTTGCAATCACTAAAACATTTCGTCCATTCCTGAGTACCCTATGCAATCACTGAACCGAGTCCACAGTAACACCAAAATTATAGGAATATAACAGTACTTCACGAGCAACAGCCGAACTGATTCAGGAAGCAGTAATTATAAGAACATAACAGTACTTCACGAGCAACAGCCGAACTGATCCAGGAAGCAGTTAGTGACATTTCAGAATTCAGAGTATCACTTGGTAGGGTCAAGAACGTGTCCTACCAACACGATCACCCCAGACCGCTCCTCCATGATGAAGAAGGTGAATGGATGGTCGGCGGTGAACTCGACGAGGTCAGGCGGTGGCCCGCTACCACCACGCACGTGGAATGCCACTGCTCCAGCCTCAGTTCCCTTCTCGTTCACATTAACCACTGGCCCACTGCCATGTGTGCAACCTTGCTCAGGAACGTTGTCCGCCGTGACTTGCCGTCACCTTCGTCCCCGTTGCACATGCCCCGCAGGTTGGCGGCCTCTGGCGAGAACGGCAGCGTCAGCCCCAGCTGGCAGAGAGTCTCCTTGAGGTTCCCCCAGTTGAATGTTATCTTGAACTTGCGCAGCTTCAGGTCCACATCCCCATCACAATGAAGAATCGGCGACCCTTCGACTCCTCGGTTCCTCCTCCTTCCTTCCGCGGCGTACCAACACCCGCGGCTGCCACTCTGGCACCGGCGTCCACCTCGCTTTATCCTAGTAACTAGCTTTCGTGGAGGATGGGAGACGCGCTCCGTCCAGCGGGCGCCCGCGCCGCTGGCGGCCACATCCACACACCGGAGGATGACGACCCCAAGAAGCTGCCACCAGGGCCAGGCACGGGAGAGGAGGCAGATCCGGAGCTCCTCGATTGGGGCTCCATTGAAGACGCGGACGACGCCTATGGCCAGTTGTCAACGAGCAAGCTCCAAGATCCAGATCTGGCGGAAAGGGGGAAGGTCCAAGACCTAGATCCGGCGGGCTCAGAAACTATGCACATGGGCGACCGACAAATCTTAATTGCTGGAGACCTGCGCGGCGATAAGGAAGGGCTGCGAGGAGATGCAGAGGATGCAGGCGCAATTACTACCGCCGCCCGCCTCGACTTGGCCGGCGCCGATGGCGCTGCTGCGGCTGAGCCCCTACCAACCATGGGCGCTCTTCAAGCACCACATCCGACCCCCCTGAAAGCGCCGGATTCATCCATGCGGCAAGGCTACCCCAATAGCCGACAGGCTATGGCTACTGGTGGGTCGGGAGGCGAGGGAGAGCGCGCTCTTCATGGCCCTGCCCCGAGCTCTGCTGGCGTGGGCCGCACCATCAATGGCCTGCAGCCGGCTTCAACATCGACGCGTGCCTCGGACCAGGGGGCACAGCTGGTGCGCGCTGAAGGAGCCTGGTTGGACACCGTGGGTGATGCGACGCGCTGCGGCGGTGCCAGGGACATTAACCCCTCTGCTGCTGCGCCAGCGACGGAGGCGCGCATGGATGGCCACGGCAAGGGCGAGGTAATCGACAAACTTTCACAAAATTGTGTTGTTGTGTCTGAGCTTCACCGTCCCGAGGCGCCGAACGATCCCATTCGGGGTGCGTCGAGGGGGGGACGGAGTTACTGCGATGCGGTTCGCTCACGCCCACCAACTGCTCGGGTTAATGCCCACCTAAGCCGTCTGCATAGCAGAGTAAAGCCCCATTGGAGGCCGCTGCTCGTGGCGGGGAGGTCCGGCCCATCGGCGGGCTATAAAACCTCCTTCACCGGTAGGTGCTTCCGATGCCTTGGGCAAGATCATAAGCTCGCTGACTGTCGCGACCCTATCCGCTGTCTGGCTTGTCACCGCAGCGGCTACCTTGCCTGTCATTGCCCTGCTAAGCGAGCGGGTTCCCATCGACCACCGATCCTAACCAGACTAAAACCCCCTAGACCCTCCATCCATTCCCGCCTTTCCTTCCATAAGCAAGTAGCGCCGACCATCCAGAGCCGTCTCGTCTTCCCTGCGCTTGAGCAGGAGGAAGGTGAGCCGGACGCAGTCAAGGGGTGTGAAAAGGAAGATGCCAAGGTGCCGCCGCCCCCGACGAAGGAGGACCTGATGGCCTGGTACCCAGGGATGCCGGAGAACCGCCCAGCTTCGGGCAGCGCGGCGCTGATTATCTCGCCGGACATGATGGCGGCGGCCACCAGGCTCCGCACCAATGCTGTGTTCCTGGTGGTGCGGGCCAGACCGCCGCATGTTGACATCAACATTGGTGACGTGAGCAGAGTTGTGGCCGGCTTTGTTCGCATGCCACCAAACGAGATGCGCACCACGCGCCACCGCCCGGAGGACTTCATGATCGTTTTCGAACAGGCTCACCAGAGGACCCTGGCACTCCGCGTTGGTGCTGTGCGGGTGAAGAGCGTCCTCTTCAACATCATTCCATGGCGCGAGCATGCACATGGCGGGGAGGTCACCTGGTGGTATCACGTCAGGATGGCCATCGAGCACCTACCTAGGCACGCATGGAACCTTGCGGCACTCAGGGAGATGCTGGGCGACATCTGCCTCTTCGACAAGATTGACCGCGCCACTTTCCGACAGCAGGATTCGGACATGCTGTACTGCTGGGCCTGGATGTGGTACCCTGACCTGCTGCCGCGCGCCAAGATGGTGACTTTCTTCATGCACAATGCGGCCCAGGCGCCGCCGGTGATCGGGGCAGAGGCGCGGCCCAGTGAGGTGGCTCCACCTCCGCGTGGCATGAGCCACAACCTGCTCATCCACCTCGACTTGGTAGAAGACTGGAGCCCCCCCAGGACACGCACCCCTAGCTCGGGCCAGAGTGGGGCTCCCTCCTCTGTCTCTTCTGAGTCGGATGAGTACCCCAGGATCTACAACTTTGAAGACTGGACTCCTGGCGTGCTGGATGGCCTCCGCGCGAGGCCAAGGGCAGATGCTTGCCACCCACTTCCTAGGGCCGCACCGGCTGGAGGACATGATGGTGACAACGGAGATGGCGATGGCTAGCGGGGCCACTCTCGGGGCTTCTTTGCTCGGGGCAGGCAGGCACTCAACCTGCTGCGCCGCGCTGGGGACTCCACCAGCAATGGAGGTGGTGCCAGACAGCGCACCCGCTCCCCACCGCTGACCAGGCAGTGGAATGCTGATGAGGGTGTGGAGACACCAGAACGAGCTGGTCATGGTAGGTACCTGGTGCGCGACGGCCACAACTCCCCGCACATGCGTGACCCGCTGCGGCGAGAGGATGCTGACTGGGAGCACCGCAGATCACGCTCCCCTACGGCCAAATCTCAACGCGGGGAGGTGGCCATGGACTTCGGCAAGGGGGACCTCGGTTCTGCCCTGCTCTTGGGGACACTTCCTAGAGCGGTTGGAGCGCCACCACCGCCACCGAGGCACCCGGACCCAATGCTGAACTTCTACAAGGAGACGTGCACTGGTGACCTCTGGTCTGCACCCACCCGCCCCCTTGGTGACTACGACCCAATGATCGGGGAGGCGCTGGCAGCGTGTGAGGCTGCGATGACCAAGCCGCTATCTTTCTCCCCGCCTGGAAGCCCATCGCTGGAGGAGCAGCGATCTCCGGTCTATGTGGCCAACTGCAGAGCCAACTTGGACAAGCTTGTGGAGCTGAACGAGGAGGCGACTGCCTGGGATATGGCAATGTCATCCATTTCGGACTGAGGGTGCAAAGAAGAGATTGAGGGCCAGGTGATCTGGCCGGCATCACCGAAAGCAGGTCGCAGAGCTCATCTTTGGATGACCGTAGGAATACCATTGTCGAGCATGTTTGTCCCCACAATGAACACACATCCTGGCGACACCGATCGCATCGAAGCGAAGCGACAAGGATCTTTGGGCGGACGAAGGTGATGAAGACTACGATGGGGGTGAGGAGGAGCACCAGCCGGTAGCAAAAAGGCTGCTCGGTGCCGGTGCACAAGCGTGCAACTCATAGACCGATTAAGGCCTTCAAGACAGTGGGGCCGAATGAGCCGATTGGGGATGAGGCATTTGGCGGCCTTTGCCAACCGCTTTGCCACGCCCTATCCCCAGAGCAGATTGCGGCGGTCAAGGAAGCTTACCTCATTGGACAATGGACCGGTGCTTAAAGCAGCGGCACGGTTAGCGGCGGTTGAGGGAGCCGAGGCCATGGAGGATGGTGGAGCCTGCAGGGATATGCACTGAAGGCCATGCAAGGCAAGGCTATGTCATGATAATCGGTAGAGTGTTATGTGTAAGGGAGCACTATAGAGTGGTGTCAGCTAGGATCATGTCCCGCCTGTTATCGGGTCAGTCTGTCAAGGGAGTAGCCCTTTGTTTGTGTCCTGAGTGGGAGAGTGGTATGGTCTGGTTGCAGTGTCTTGTGGATAGTCATGGGCAGAACTTGAGGTTGAGTTGTGCTCAGAATTGGAATGTGCCTGGCACCCTTGGACTGTTAGAACAACGGGGCTAGGAGAGTATATGTGTGCTGCTGCCTATCACTCGTTTAATCCCAGTTGCCTACTTGTCTGTTTATGGATAGCAGTGACCTTTTTGTATTGACATGGAATGTAAGAGGCCTAAATGATGCTGCTCACCGAGAGCTTGTCAGACAGATAGTTAACTACTCGCGGCCAATGATAGTGTGCCTACAGGAAACCAAACTCAGCAGTTTCAGTAATACCATTGCCATGGAGACCTTTGGGCACTATCTGGACTCCTACCTTGAGCTGGGGGCCCAAGGGACTAGAGGTGGCATACTCTTGGCATGGAATAAGGATATGATCTCAATGTCAAATGCTGTGAATAGAGTTTTCACCATCTCAGCTATGATCAAAGTTGCCTCCTCTGATACCCAGTTTCTAATGACTACATGTTATGGACCAGCGGATGATCACAGAAAAGAAGACTTCCTTGCTGAACTGAATGCTATCAAGCCAACTGTTGGGGTACCATGGATCATCTTAGGAGATTTTAACCTAATCTACCAAGCCAGTGACAAAAACAACCTCAACCTCAACAGAAGGCTGATGGGAAAGTTTCGAAGAGCTCTAGATGAATGCGAACTCATGGAGATTGCACTGCAGAATAGGAAGTACACATGGTCAAACGAAAGGGAGAACCCTACCTTGGTGCGTTTAGACAGGGTGTTTTGCAACCATGAGTGGGAAACGGCCTTTCCAAATTTCACCTCAAATGCTCTGGCAATGGGAGCCTCAGACCACTGTCCACTGTTTCTCACCCGAAAAGATTGAGTGATCAGGAAAGCGGTGTTTAGATTTGAAAACCATTGGCTCAAGGTGGATGGCTTCCGGGACATGGTCATGACTGCCTGGACCAAACCACAGGCGGGCTCAGCACAAACTATACTGAACAGACGGCTAGCAGAGACGGCGCAGGCGCTAAGAACCGGGAGCAAAGTGCTTTTCAGCAATTTATGCCTGCAGCTATACATTGCAAACGAGGTTATTTTCAGGTTAGATGTTGCCCAAGAAAGCAAACGGCTATCAGAACAAGAGAATATTCTACGGCAAGACCTCAAAATCAGGATATTGGGCTTAGCGGCGATTGAGAGGAGTAGGAGAAGACAGGCGTCTAGACTGAACTTTATTAAGGCAGGAGACGCATGTACAAGATTCTTCCACCTGAAGATGGCAGCCAGGAAAAGAAGACAGTACATACCTGAAAGTGCATCTAGCCCTTTAGTGGGTTTTGGTTGATTGAATGACAACGTGATTAAAGGACTAACCCGTTTGCTAAGTGTGAACAGGTAATAGGTTATCTCACAGGTACTTAATGAAAGCCAAAATGATGTGTTGTTGTATAAACAATCTAGTTCAAGCACAAGACAACAATGCAAATGGAATTCATGTGAAGGCTTATTTTTTTGTGGGATTTCCATGTACTATGTGAAAGCAAGCTCATGATTATTAGTTAATGAGACATGAGGGATTGCATATGGAATAGTCTCATATTTGAAGCTTGCTAAATTAAAATGAAAAAGATAACAATACATATGAATGGATGATTCAACACAAGATGTGACTTGATGGCTTGAGATGGTGAAGATAGCAAGGAAAGGCTTCGAGGTACTAAGCAAGGGTGAAGGGCAAGCAACGGCTTGGCGGCCGAAGAACCTAGCTAGGGTGAAGAAGAAAGTACTTGCATTTAGTTGAGGTACTAATCAAGCTAAGATGGTCATATTGATGTGAAGAATCAAACCTATAATGAAGTATTTGATGGAAGTGACTTGATACGTTTGGGGTTATTCAAATTTGATGAATGGAATCAAGTCACATGCTCAAGATGGCTATGCTCAAATGAAAAGATCAACATCAACTTGTTAGCACCCTTACTTGATGAAGATTGGAAGGGACGGCATCAATTCAAAAGAAATCAACTCAAGTGGTATAAATTCATTTTTCCTTTGATCTTGAGTTTAATAGGTATGCCGTACTATTAAGAGGGATGCATCATGTTGATAGATAATGTTTCATAAGTGCTCAACCCAACCCATGTGAGGTTTGATTATTTGAGCGACAAATGTGCTAATCGATTTCTTGTTTGATTCAGCAATACCGGACGTGTCCGGTATTCATACCGGACGTGTCCGGTATTTGTCCAGCAGCTGTAAAATTGTTGTTCTCGGGTTGCTTCGTCGGGAGTTCCGACGTAGGTCGGGAGTTCCGATGGTCGGGAGTCCCGGCATGGGTCGGGAGTTCCGACGTCTCGCACTTCAACAGACTTAGAGGTTTCACTGTCCTGGTCATACCGGACGTGTCCGGTATTCACACCGGACGTGTCCGGTATGGATGACCAGAAGCCAACGGCTAGTTTTCAAAAGCCGTGAGGGTCGGGAGTTCCGACATGCGTCGGGAGTTCCGACACCTCACTAACTTTAACTCAGTTACATGTTTTTCAAAATTGCTGAGGGTCGGGAGTTCCGACGGTCGGAAGTCCCGGCATACTTCGGGAGTTCCGACGCCTCACAACATCACTGTAACTTAGTTACCGTTGGCGCAGTCTGAGTCATACCGGACGTGTCCGGTATGCATACCGGACGTGTCCGGTATTGCAACGGCTATAAAACGGCTAGTTTTTCAAGGGGCTATAATACCCCCAAGCCTCCACCTTTGGAGGTCTGCTGATTCTCACCGAGATAGACACACGTTTTGAGCCTTGCCAACTCTCCTAAACCCTCTCTTAGTGAGTGTGTGATCCAAATTGCAAAATCAATTTGTGGGTTGAGAGAATTTGAAAAGAGAGCAAGCCACCACTTGAGCACTTGTGCATATTGTCAATCTCGTGATTCGCATTTGTTACTCTTGGACTCTTCGGTCCTAGACGGTTAGGCGTCACGGAGAGCAACCGAGATTGTGGTTGCTTCGGAAAGTTTAGCATTGGTCGATTCCGCCGCCTCGGAATCAAATTAGTGGAAGGAGGAAAAGGAGTTGGAAAAGACTCCATTAGAGTGACCTTCGTGGTACCCTCTAGGGCTGACCTTGTTTGGTCGCCCCAGCCCCTCAACGGAGAGTAGGACTCGAACGAGTCCGAACTTGATAAAACAAATATCGTGTCTAAATTCGCATTTCATTTGATATTTGTGTTGCTCTAGCTGTTCTGCAGGTTCTCTGTGTATATTGTCATCTCCATTAGGTGCCTGCAGTTTGGTTTGAAGATAGAAATCGAAAGGAGCAAGTTCGGGGCCGATTTGCAGAAATCGTGTATCTGGGACACGTCCGGTATTCATACCGGATACGTCCGTATTTCCTGCTGCAAGACCGAAAATATTTATTCTCTGTTCTAACTTGGTGTTGCGGGGTTGTAGCTTATAGATATATTCTTTATACCTTGTTTACTTTGTGGCTAACTTGTGAGGGGTGGTAGTACTCTTAATTTGGAGTTTCCATTTTGGAAACTCCCCTTTCTAATTGTTTCCGCATTTAAAGGTGTTATTTTTCAGAAACGCCTATTCACCCCCCCCTCTAGGCGGCATCCTAGGTCCTTTCAATTGGTATCAGAGCAAGGTTCTCACCTAAAGCTTCACCGCCGTGAGAAAAGGATGTCGACGCCTATCGAGTTGGAGCCGGTGCTTCTCCAAAATGATGGTTCAAACTTTCTAACTTGGTCAATACATGTATTCAATGCTTTTAGAGATATTAGTCCTCTTGTTGAGCATATTGTAGATGCAAGCATACCTCTTTCTATAGTTGATTGGAGCAACTACAAAAATTTATCAAAAGAGGAAGAAATATGCGTGCAACTCAATGCTCAAGCTATTAATATTATTTTGAGTACATTAAGTGTAGAGGTTCAAGATGAGGCAATATTCAATGGACAACCACCTCCTCGGAGAGTGCTCATCTCATTTGGACTAGACTTTTGATTTATATGGAAAATCCAAATGTGATGATGCACTTGAGATCGAGTCAATGGAAAGAATATCCATTGTGTCTTCATACAAATGAAGAAGCCTCACAAAACCTCAAGAGTGCCGAGCCGAGCAAGAAGTGCAAGCAACAAGCATGACCTGCTTGTCACTTTTGCATGTACTGGACGTGTCCGGTATGCCTCTCTACCGACGTGTCCGGTATGGCCGAGGCAACAGAACCGACAAGCAATTTGTTTAGTAGCGATGCTCAAGCCCGATGGCGACCAAGTGATGAGTCAACCTCAGTATCTCATGATACTCATCACTTGTGTCTCATGGCCAAGAAAAGCAAGAAGAAGAATAACAAGAAAGATCAAGAAAAGGAGAAAGCACAAGTAGATGATCAAGATAAGAGTGATGTTGAAATTGAAGACAACTACAACCTTGATCATCTCAACCATAAAGACAAGTTCATCATCATGAAGATAGTTGAAAAGAATGATGAGCTTGAAGAAGAGATTGAGAAGCAAGAGCAATCGCTTCAAAATCAAGAAAAGTTTCTCATCTCCAAATTGCAAGAGCTAAAGGCAATAAATGAGAGGTATGAAAATTATCAATCGAGCATGCTTTAGTTACTAATTCCTCTTCTAGTGTTTCACAACTAGAGAAGGAAAACTTCGAGCTCAAGGCAAGGCTAGATGAACTATCAAGCAAGTATAATGAGCTACAAGCAAATTATGTTCATCTAAAGTGCTCTCATGAGGAAGTAGTAGAATCAAGCATCATGCTTGAGGTGGCTCATGAGGTTGTGATTACATCGGTAAAATTCTCTCAACCTCTCACACATCCGCTCACTAGTACACCATCTCAAATAAATATTTCTTGTACTAATGAGTGTGCTCCTCAAGCAAGCCAATCTTGATTGAGCTAAATCTTATAGAAAACATAGAGCTCAAAGAAGAAGTGCAAAGATTAAAGAAAGATGTGATTCGGTTGAAGGGTAAGGAGAAAGCACAACCTTCTCAAGATAACCGTGATAACATGGTGAAGAAGCTTGAGAAGGGTTCAAACCTTGCTTCCTCCAAAGCCCAACAAAAGAATCACATCTCAAGCAAAACCAACACAACCAAGAGCAAGAAACATGGAAAAAGGATGTGCTATGGTTGTGGATTGTATGGACATGAGTGGGCTATGTGTCCACACAAGAGTTAAATGACAAGGTTGAAGCCGCCAATCAAAAGGCTTCTACCAAGGGGGCCAAGCAAGTGAAGAGTCATGGACAATGTCCTTGTCTCATGAGCAAGAAATTGGGGCATCCTACCAAGAAATACCCAATGAACAAAGAAGCAAGAAAGCAAGCCCAAGTTGCAACTAGAAGATGCTATGGGTGCAATGAGATGGGCCACAAGGTTGATGGATGTCCATACAAGCAAAACAAGCATAGGGCAAACAAAGGTCGCATATGCTATGCTTGTGGAAGAAAGGGGCATCTAAGCTATGATTGCCCAAATGGTAACATCCCTAAGCCGAACACAATTATTTATGATAATATGCTTAGGAAGACCACAAATGGAATTAGCACTAGCAAGGTGATGTGTTCACCACAAACTAGTACTAAGGCCATTTGGGTGCCTAAACACTTGTTGACTAACCCAAAAGGACCCAACAAGAGTTGGGTACCAAAATGTGCTTAGGTTGATAATATAGGTACTTGGTGGTGAGATGAAAGCTTCGGGGTGGTTGAGCAAGCAACTTGATAATATTCACTCAATCTATCAACCAATTCTTATCATAATCCCTAATATGGCTGACCCGAAGATAATTCAATAAATATATCATCTATTTCATCCTCATCATTGGTAACAAGTACCTAAACTTTATATC